TACAGTACGTCAGCTGAGGCCTGACCAGTGCCAAGTAGAGCAGTACTATCACCTCCTGTGATTTGCATGTTACGTCTCTGTTAATGCAACCTAAAATTGTATTTGCATTTTTTTGCAACAGCGTTGCATTGCTGACTCATGTTGAGGTTGTGATCCACCACAACTCCCAGATCCTTCTTAGCAGTGCTGCTGCCAAGCCGCTTCCCCCCCCCCCCATTCTATATTTGTGCATTTGGTTTTTCTTCCCTACGTGTAGCATCTTACTTTTGAATTTCATTTAATTGTTTAGCCCAGTCCTCTAATTTATCAAGATCCCTCTGAATTTTTGCTTTATCCTCCAAAGTATTGGCAACCCCCCACTAGCTTTGTGTCATCTGCAAACTTGATCAGTGTGGTCTCTATTCCTATATCTGGGTAGTAAATAAAGATGTTAAACAACACCAGACCCAGATAGTACATTCAAATAATGGTAAAAGTCGGTCTTAACAATAAAAATAAATAAAAAACCCCAACCAACCAAAAATAAAGAAAAAATAAGTTCAGAGTTAAGGTTATATCCTTAACTCATCTTTGTACCCTTCTGAATTAAAGCACATATGGTACTGCAACAGTATGAATAATGTGAGAAGCCTGCAATTCATAGAATCCCTAGTGTGAGTAGCATTATTAGTTCTGTAATTCCTGGTTTTCATGATTTCAGTTGTTCATAGTATTTACTACTCTCTCTAATTGTTGAGGGACTTTTTAAATTTACTGTAGCTATATGATATGGCTAATTTTAATTTACAGATATTCAGAGAATTCCTCCCTATTGTCTGTTAATTTTATCTGAACATATTACACACTCCATCATTAGAAGAGAAACAATAACAAACTGAAATTTCCGAAATTCCCCATCATAAGAGGGTTAAAAAAAGTAAAAGTTTGTGTGTCCTAAATGTTCTTACTGGAATCCATTATGCATGAAAAGGGTTTGAGCCCATGTGTAAGACCTCTGAATGAACTTCATTCATTCCGTACTTGGAAATGTCTGTTCAACCACAGACACAATAGTTACAACCTAATTTCTTTGATGTCAGGAGTAGCTTATTAAAAGTGAAGAGATCATTATTTAAAAGTGTAGTAACTTTTCTGTGGTAGTTATATAATTTACATTCCTTTAACATCTTATGGTGTAATTATATAAGGATATTTTATTTAAATGGTTAAATTGTGGTAATATATATTCATTTTACATTTTTAAACAGTTAATATGAAGCTTTTGCAACATCTAGTATATGAACATAATTTATTTTAGCTTTGTGAATTTTAATGTGAAACAAATATATGCATACTCATTTCTTGATCTTCTGTGAACACTCTCATATTATTCATATTTACTGCCAGTGTTTAAATCACCCCCCCCATGTTTTTTCCCCACTTTTAAAATATTAAAACTTTATTTCATATTTGAAGAAGTAAAAGATTTGCTGTGCTACAATACAGTATTATCCATTCATTAGGCCTGATTATGATTTTACTTGAACTGAAGTCAGTGGTGTTACATCAGGTTAAACCCGTTTTGTTTAAAATTGGCATGGTGTAATGGGAGAGATTAGATAGCTACAGTATCATGACCTTCATTCTGAGATAGTGATTGGACATACTGTGACAAGAATTTAGGAGAATCTAGCTTGCTTTATTCATGCAACATAGGAATTCCCTAAACTCCCTCATTCCAACACCAATTGTTTAAAACAGTGATTCCCAACGTATTTACCATTGTGGGCTGCATATGCTGTTCTTTGTGTGTTATGTGGGCCGCATGAGGATGTCACGTGGGCCCCATCTGTATGCTGATTGGGCTGCAAGCAGCCCTTGGGCCAGGGGTTGACAAGCACTGGGGTTCAGAAAGTTCCAAGAGGCAGAGTCCCATGGACCAGGGTGGGCAGTGACTCCCACTTTTGCTCCTATCCAAGAACAGTAGACACTAGGGTGAGGGTAGAAAAAAACACTGTTATTTTATATATTTCCCTTAATTCTCCCTTGTGATAACCCAAGTAATGATATATACCGGGGTGGGCAAACTTTTTGGCCCGAGCGCCACATCTGGATACGGAAATTGTATGGCGAGCCATGAATGCTCAGAAAATTGGGGTTGGGGTGCGGGAGTGGGTGAGAGCTCTGGTTGGAGATGCGGACTCCGGGGTCGGGCCAGAAATGAGGAGCTCAGGGTACGGGAGGAGGGTGGGTGGTGGGGGGGGGTTGAGGGCTCCGGCTGGGGGTGCAGGCTCTGAGGTGGGGCTGAGGATGAGGAGTTTGGGGTATAGGAGGGTGTTCTGGGCTGGGACTGAGGGGTTCGGAGGGTGGGAGGGGGATCATGGCTGGGGCAGGGTTGCGGAAAGTGATGCAGGCTCCGGCTGGGGGTGTGGGCTCTGGGGTGGGACTGGGGATGAGCTGTTTGGGATGCAGGAGAGTGCTCTAGACTTGGATTGAGGGGTTTTGAGAGCGAGAAGGGGATCAGGGCTGGGGCAGAGGGTTGGGGCATGAGAAGAGGCTCAGGGGTGCAGGCTCTGGGCAGCACTTACCTCAAGTGGCTCCCGGAAGCAGCGGCCTGTCCCTGCTATGGCTCCTACGTGGAGGTGCAGCCAGGCAGCTCTGCATACTGCCCCATCCGCAGGCACCACCCCTGCAGCTCCCATTGGAGCGCCAGAGAGGGGCCATGCTGCTGCTTCCGAGAGTGGTCCCTGGCCCTGCTCCCCAGCTGGAGCACTGGAGGGGGGCAAGCCCCAGACCCTGCTTCCCAGCTGGGGTTCGAGGGCCAGCTTAAAACAGCTGGCGGGCTGTAGTTTCCCCACCCCTGATATACACAGTATACTCATCTGGTAAAGGTGTGGATCTTTGTGTTCAGTGTAGAATGAAGCAGGTTTGGAGGGTGGAGAAAACCAGCAGGGGATACGTCACTTGAATAATATTCTTCTGCAACCGGAGTCCTTTATCCCTTTTAGGTTCAACAGTGACCTGGTTATCATTTAGGGCCTGATACTGCAATTTGTATTTTGCAGGCAGACTGCTGTGCCCCTGGAGAGCCCCAATGAGGAGCCTTAATGCAGATGCAGCAATCTTCCTGCCCACTGTCAGTTGCAGGACTAGGGTCTTTGGTAGCAGCCATAGTCTTAGAAACTTACTTTTATGAGTGGACTGAGCATGTCCCCAAACAGAGATTGTGGAAAATATTGCTGTTGGGAAACAACTGTGAAGGGGTGGGTGGCCCTTAGCAGGAAAAACTACTAATAGGAAGATAGAAGATAAAACAGCCCCCTCCTCACACTCACAAACACTCTTTATCTAATAGACCTTCTGCCAGTGGCTTTTCCTGCTAAGTAGTTTGATCCTTCCATCCCCTTGCCATGTAAAATACATTTATTTAGTACATCCAGTGAATGCCTAGGTAGTGCTAATTACATTGTCTGATCATTTAAACCCCATTTATGTCCATTTTCTATCCCAGGGGTTCTCAACCTTTTTGTTGCTGAGGCCCCACTCAACATGCTGTAAAAACGCCCTCGCCTGGCAGGGGAATTGGGGTGGTGGTGCAGGGATCAGGCCAGGGGGGCACCCTTGGGCATAGGAATAGTTTTACTTCTATTTGGGGGGGCAAGGGCTGGAAGGACTTGAGCCAGCTCCGCACAGGACCGTCCAGGGAGGAAGCGCCACCTCCACTCCCTGACTCACTCAGGAGGCCACCTAGCCTGTTTGAGCTGTGGGAAAATGCAACCAAAATATATAACTCCAAGGGGGGGACTCAGTTCAAAAAGTGTGAAAACTGCTCAGAGTGCAGGGGGTAGCTAGGGGTTGTGTGAAGTGAGGGGAGTAGCTCAGGGTGCAGGGAGGGGGTAGCTAGGGGCTGTGTGCAGGCAGGGGGGTAGCTCAGGGTGCAGGCAAGGGGTAGGTAGGGGTGTGTGCAGGCAGGGGGGTAGCTAGGGACTGTGTATGGGCGGGGTGGCCTCCCAGTGCAGCTCCCAGCTTCAGCAGTGGGGAGGAGAGGAGGTGCTGGGGCTCCCGCCTTCAGCCCCCTGCTGCTCCTGGCTTGGGCGGTGGGGGGAGGGAGTTTGACGGTTTCAGCCCCATGTCGCTCTCAGCTTCAGGGGTTGGGGTGGGGGAGGCACTGGCTTCAGCCCCGTGCCGCTCCTGGCTTCAGCACTGGGACTCAGGGTACTGGGTTTCAGCCGCGGAGCTCCACGGCCCCCCTGAAAGGGCTCGCGGACCCCCCCAGGGGGCCATGGACTACCAATTGAACACTGTGCTATCCCATCTGTAACTTACACTACTGTTTCTGTTCAATGAATTTGGCTGGGAAATTTATATGGGAATTACACTGTTTACGCTGGAGATTAATATAGCCCTGTATGTAGTATTGTAGTATAATATTTACCTGGGGCTCCATGGAATTTGATGGAGTAAAGACGTCAGGATTTGTCTCTTACACAGCAAATTGCTGAATCTAACTATTCTTTTTAAGAAGTGACATACTGATACTTTCATTTTTTACTTTAATATTTAATTAATATTTTCACCATATAAATATTTATATTACACCCCACATGGCAAATGAATGTGGTTTATTTGCCATACTGTATATAACTGGTCTCTGTCCTTCTCTAAGGATACTGGTTTCAGAAGTAACTAATTATAGTAGTGTATGCTCATAGGTCATGCAATCCTATAGCCCTGATTCTGATCTCACTTTTTTACAGTTGTACGCTGCTGAAATACCAATATTCTCAGCAGAGTTGCTCCTGATTTACACCAATGTTGAGATCAGAATTAGACTCTGTGTTCTCCTAGGGTTTGTATTTTTTTTAGTATACTCTCTCGTTCAATTCCCATTTCTTTTGTATAATTATTTGAGGACTCAATATGTTAATTGTCACAACAGCAAAAATTGCACACTGAAAAATCAGACAAAATTCTGTTTATCACTAAGTAATAACAATTCATGCCTATTAACATTTGCTTAGGTACATCCCATCAAGGTGGATATTCCCATGATGCTGTGGTGTATGCACTACAAAAATGTGGCATTCGTCATATTGATACAGCAAAAAGATACGGCTGTGAATCACTCCTTCAGAAAGCTATCAAAGAAAGTGATGTGAAGCGAGAGGACCTCTGGATAACTACCAAACTCTGGCATACCGACTATGGCTATGAAAACACAAAACAAGCCTGCCTGGAATCATGCAAAAGACTTGGTGTTCAGTACCTCGGTATGACATTTTTATGTTGTTGATATACTGTGCCTCCCATGTGAGTGTTGGGGAAGATCAATAAATTCTAGGATGGACTTCATAACAGAGAGAAGACCACAGGTGCCAAATTCTTCTCTTCGTTATATGTCTGAAAACCTCTTGTCCCAACTGATCTTCATGAGGGTTGCATGTATGTAACTGAGGGCACAGAATATGGCCCTAGAATTGTAGCTGTTGCAAGATCTCTTTTAAATTGTCTAGAATGAATTTTCTAAAATTACGTTTAATCGTTAAATCAAGTTGGGGATCAGCTATACAACAGTTCAGGAGTTTTGGTTAAGGAAACAAAGATTGCTGTATAAACTTTAAAATAAGGTCACTCTTAAAGTGTTGGTTGCTTGCACGGTGTATGATAATTTCTGCAATGTCCAATTTGAAAATATGGGGTCACCTTTGAAAATGTCACCCTTTAAACTTTCTCTAAAATTATGAATGTGTTTTAAAAGATTTGTCTTGCTTGCTTGCTATCTGATGCCATAAACTTTGGGTACAATTTTCAAAAGCGCTCAAGTGACTTAGACATCTAAGTCCCATTGAAAATCAATGAGATTTAGGCACTTTTGAAAATTTTATCCTAGTGATGTACCTACAGTATAGTATATCATAATTAGTAAAACTGAAATGGCTGCCACCAGAGTTCATGACATAGAATATTATCTGAGGCAAGAAGAAGCTGTAGAGGGGACACTAGTTAGTTGCCCATTATCTTTAGATAGCAATAGGGGGATGTCATAGAAATGCAAATGGAGAGTATTTTAAAAGCTTTTGGGGGGTTGGGGGGCACTTTCTCTTTCCTAGCTGAAAGGAGGAAAAGAAAGGGGAGAGGAAATGAAAAATAGCAATCTAAAATTATCTTATTGTAGAAGCTTAGACCAAAATGTCAGTGTTGACTGCCAAAGAAAATAAATGTAACGGTCAAACTTATCAGTGGTGGCACTGAAAACCTTCCCTTTGCTCCTCTTCCGCTTCCTGCACCAGCACCAATAAATAAACTGTAAGGCAGAAACAAACAGCTTTTGTAAAAAAAAAAAAAAAAATACACACAAAGGTTTTGTGGAATATCCTACTGAGTGCTGGGCTTAGGGTTTTCCCCCTGAGTGTGTTGTAAGGTGAACAAAAAGAAAATCCAAATAATTTATGAAAGCTACCATAGTGTATGCATTAAAAGATTGTGGCATATGTCTATGCAAACATGGTGTGTTCTAGTTCTGTTAGCTGTGCAAATGTATCCATCAGTGGTTTCCTACAGACTAATGTGAAATGTTCTAAAGCCACTTCCATACTTCTATGCAGTACAGATACTGATCACTGGAAGGATGCTCTCATAAATAAGGAACTGCAGTCCATGACTTTGTACTTTCTGTCTAAATTAAGAAGGAACATATTTTCTTCATCACTGTTCTCCCTTTAGTAGCTCTTCATGTTTTGTATTTCGTCTCTTGTTATTCTGCTTGCTGTGGCACTGGTGCTGAATGCTGATGAGCGAAAACTTGATCCAACTCCAGAAAATAATTTTTAGATCATTTGTTTGAATACTGCAAACTTTTGTATCCTTTTTGGGTACTAAATTGATAAGACTGAGAACTTGTACAAATAATCAGCAGATACATTATTTTTTGGTTTGCTGATCCAGGAATGGATGCATTGAAAAAAAGCTTATTTTCAGGTGGCAGAAGTATTTTAGATGCTGTTACCATCTAGTTCTTGGAATGGCATGAGAGAAAGAGAGCGAGTGAGATAGCTTGTGTTTGTTAGATATGTTCAAATCTTTTCATTCGGGAGCCTCATGGCTGAGTCTCCTCTTGTTAACATCATGTTCATACTAGTGTAATTTCATTGACATCTCGTGAGATATTGATTTGCCCTTGTGTAAATGAGGTATGGAGCAGGTCTTTTACTTTTAAGATTGTGATATTTAGCTACAGCCTTCCTTTGAGGGCAGGAGAAAGCCAGACCTCACTTGTGCTGCACAGGAAGTATTCTACCTCAGAGAGGCAACTGTCTCCCAGAGTCCCCCACTGTGCACAGGAGCACACACACTGCTGCACTACTTTAAGGGGTGAAGCATACTCCCTTTGCATGGTGAGCCATCTCTGCTGACAGTTGACTAGCCATAGCTCCAGCCATAGTTCCACCTCTCCCTGCCACCTTTGTACCCCAGGAGAGTAACTGGAAAGAACAGAGACTGCAGTTCCCATCTCTTAAGTGTGTTGTGTACCCACCTAAAAGCCAGGCAGAATCTAGCTGATATAAGTTCTCTCTTTTCAGTTTGCTCTTTTCAGTTACATAGTCATAACTCAGGCTGGTCATTTTGTTAATAGATTCCATGGTTTTTTGCAGTTTAAATTAAAAAAATTATGGCTATTCCTTCAGAGACATTTTAACTTTCATTTTAAAAGGGACCTGACCTTTAGAAAAGTTGAACATTCACAAATCCTATTAGAGTCAATAGGAGTTGAAAATCAGGCCTTATGATTATAGTCCTTACGGTTGTGAAGGTAGCCTTCTAAACACTAACCTAGTCAAAACGGACGCTGCACTATCTCTCTCTGTCTTATCAACAAATAATGCTTCTGCAGAAGGTTCCTTTTTTAATAAGATGCATTTAGAAATTACGATAATTCTGTAACACCATATAATGTAGGAACGTGTAACATTCCTTAGGAAAACAAGACCTGTTAGATTATTGATACAATTCTCATAAAAAAAGTTAAGTGTATTATGGTTCTTTCTTATTTGAATGGTTTATTATACCTTTAGTAAATTTTTAAATTAAAGCACTTAATACGTTTGACAAAGTGTATGCCCTGGCTTTTGAGGGTGGGCAGACTCAGATAAAATTATGAGCTACTGTGTTTTTGTCATGGCAAATCTGTGATTATTTCACATTTATTAGCTGGAATAAATTTGGATTGAATTCCCATTATTCCAATTTACTTCTGTTTCTAGGGTGCTTTGATGGACTTTGAGGCAAAAAATACCATCAGGAGCATCTTCTGGCATAAAATTACAAGTTTTTTGACAGTGCAAAAGTATGAAATCTTCTGAGAATACATTTCCCCCCCCCAAACTTGAAACTTCTCACAAATCCTATGAATGTAACAACAATGCAGAGACCTACATAAAGGAATGTAGTTAAAAGCTAGTAGACTTAAAATTAGATATATCAGCTCTATTTTCATTCATGAGCATGCACCTTATTTTATGTCAGCATTCCACAGACCAGTCTTCTCCATTCTTATGAACAGGCAGGGTATGAAAATATATGATGAAAAAAGTTCTGGTGATGATAAGGCAATGTGTGTCCAAGCTTATTTAGGAAAGCAAATTGTTTTTGTTATGGGCATCTCTGATACAGTTGCTGAAACCCAGCAATTCTTCTGTGAGAGAAGGATATATGGAATAAGGAGCAGGGTAAAATACTAAATGAAATCTTCTTGATTGTATTAGAATATAACAAGAATTCTTTTCTTCTAATAGTTTCTATAAAAGATACATGGATGATGCAATAAGATGGAAGATACTTAAACAATGCCTTTGTTTTTACAATTTATATTTTTATATTATAGCGCAAATCTGACTAATATGACTGAAAATTGAAAAGATACTAAAGCCCCAGAAACTTTAACCACTTGGAACTCCTGATTCCATACAAAGCCCCATTGACTTCAGTGTTCATGGATTTTATTTTAATTAATGGATTATATATCCATGAGAAGCTAGAAATGTGTATTATTTATGGGCAGTGGTTAAAACAAATATTCCATTGCTTGCGTTTTCTAAATGTGGTCCTTGCTCTTTCCATTTAAGATTAGTGTCTGGCATCCATGATAAACCAGTATGGAATAGCAGCAAATCTTATAGGTTTGGCAATAAGAGAACACATTCCTTTGGATTTGGACACAGCCCCCCAAATAATTTATTTTTGAGTATGGTTTGTGCGTTACTGAATTCATAAACTATTTTGTTTTCCTCATGTCTGTTGAACCTCAGATTCTAGTTAGCTGTATGCTTTTTATTGGGTTGAGAATTCAAGTGTAATCACAAACTTTAGTTCCACTAACAAGCATGCTACTGACTTTTAACTGTGTAGAACTAGGCCTGCATTTTGAATGAAGATGAGCTTTTTCTGGGTTTTGTTGTCTCTGGACGCGACTACAACTAAGAAATAATGACCCACCAAGTGACTTAAGTATCGCAATCTAAAAATACTCCATACACTGATTTTTATTAGGGTTACCTACAGTGCCATATTTTGATATTCCAGCCTCAGGGTCATATTTACTGCAGCATTATTCCAGATTGATTGCCTTTAAAGGGTGCTTGAAACAAATTTATAGCCAAAGCGTCTTGTGTTTAACAGTAGTTAATGGTGGTTAATGACTTTGATTTCTTCCTTGATGCAAAAAGTTATTTCTTTTATATACAGCTAGGAATCATAGCAACTATTACTTAATTCTGCATTTAAGTGACATACATTAATAAATTAATTTGGATTTTCTAAGCAAGCGTTTTTGAAAACGAATTAGCTAGTGATTCCATTCGCACTATTGGCCAGGAAGCAGAATTCAATCTTCAACACTGTTGCTTTATTCAGAAATATTAGAAATGATGTTGTCTCCTGCTTTTTTAACAGACTGTGTTTTAACATTGCTACTTACTTAATTTACAGCTAACTAGTAAATGGCCACTCACAATTTACAAAACATTTTGGTCATGGGAGCTCTTCTCAAAATGTGCCAGTCCAGTGGACCAAGAGTATTTTGTTGTATTATTTAATACTAATTTCCTACCATAAATTTGTTAAATTAATAATGTTTGTGTTCATGTAATCCTCAAAGGAGAAAAACATTTGGGTAAATCAAAGTGTGTGTGTTATGTGTATTGTGACAAAGCTCCGTCCTTGTCTCCATGAGTCCCGCGTTTCCTGGCGGATTGCGCTAGCCTCAGAGGCTCAC